GGATTCACACTGCATCCGATTTGCGTCGTACGACGCTCTTCAACCAATCAGAAAACAGGATTCCGATGATACGAAGCAAAATCTATCGAAATCCTGTTTTCTGATTGGTTGAAGAGCGTCGTACGACGCAAATCGGATGCAGTGTGAATCCAGCATTACGGTTACTAATTCCTAGTAGGAAGTTTTTGCAATAACATGAATTCAGATACGGTGAACGCTAAAGTCATGTCATCTTTTTCCTAATTAGTTGTTAAGAAAAAAATAACCTGACCTTACCGTTTACCGTATCTGGATAAACGGTATTGCAAAAACTCCCTATTGTACCTGCGTCTTTACGGTAACAGAAATAGCAGTAAACTTATCCATAAGGCGAGTTTGAAACCGGTTGAAATTATTGCGAGGTTATGAATAAGTTTACTGTGATTTCCATTTCCGTTAGATTACATAGACCAAAAATAATATCCTGATTGGCTACGTTCAGCAGACTCAGCAGTTTTGCAACCGTTTTATGATTCGTTGCGCTGTTTGGTTTATACTTTTAGTTTTAAAAGAATAGTCCAATCTGAGCGAAGAATCATAAAACGATTGCAAAACTGTTGAGTCTGTTGAACGCAGCCATTGGCTCATCGGCTTAAGTTTATGTCTTAGGGCTTCTTTCACCAACTCCAATTAACTTAATCTAGTGCTCGGAATTAGTTGCTCATTTCGGGCAGATTCCTGAGGCGACTCCCACTACTACTCGGCGGCCAAGCCGCCGATCGCTCGCGTGATGCTGTGCCCCAGGAGCGTCACGATACGAAAAGTATACTAAGAGCATATTTTTCCGGCAAATATCATTAAAATATTTTCTTTCCTACGTGATGTTTATTTTAATAAATAATTAAAATAAATTTTTTGTTATTCTTTGGTAAACGTCAAATGGAGAGTAATCCTCTCAAAAATCGATGAAATTATACTCATTCGACGCGTTTTTCCATAAAACGAAAGAATCTGGTAGAAAAAAGCGTCGCTCTGCCCCGCAAACCTAGATATTAATCATTAAAGTTCACGACTATTCACTGTTAATGCAAAGAATTTGTGTTTTTGAACGGGGTGATCCCGATTGAACACAGCTCGATTGGACACCACCAATCACAGCGACCGGTGCTTAGGAGCTTTGTAGTCTCAAGCGCTGTGAGTGGCTCGTGTCCAATTGAGCCGTGTCCAACTAGGTGCCACCCTTTTGAAACAGTACTTTTGTGTTTTGAAAGTACTGATTTTTTGTGTTTTTGAAGCAGTACTTTTGTGAAATAATATAATCGCAGCGCATGCTCGTAGCGCAGTATTTCGAGGCTGACAGATTTCCTAACCTGAATAGTCGTCAACTTTTAAGCTTAATATCTTGATTAGCGGGGCAGAACGACACTGCTTTCTGCCAGATTCTTTCGTTTTATGAAAAAACGCGTCGAATGAGTATAATTACATCGATTTTTGAAAGGATTACCCTCCATTTGACCTTTACCAAACCTCAAACTGTGCAGAGAACTGACTTATAAAACACATAAAAATCGAAAAAAACGTTACCACTTGCTACCCTCCTTGCATCTTTATAGCGTTTTCGATTGGGCAAAAGTTAATGCGCACCAGTGCGCACTCAGTTCACATCAACACTGGACGAGTTCCATGGGTTGCACTGAATAGTGCAAGTTCAAAAGAATACGCCAAGATTTTCAGTGCTAAAGCTGAAACTCATTTTCGTTCACTTTGAAGCAATGTTCAACAAAATGTTACAAAACCACAGTAAAAGATATTAAGAGTAGGGACAAGACCCCGTTTTCAATTCAACTGCGCAGATTTGCTTGTCCCTATGTATATCCTTAACTGTGATAAAACGTGCACTGAACTGGCACCGTCAAAATATCTCGTGCCACTTAGTGCGCACTGAGTGCGCACTACGCGAGTGTCGTGCGATCAAATGAACACG